TGGACCAATTGGAGGACGACGTCCCCTCGCCCTTCTCTCCGCCCCCCTCCCCCAACCAGGGGTGTCGACCGACCGCTGGCTGCGGGGTTTGCCCGAGACTGCCTGGGACCGCCGGGGCCTGAAAACTGCGTGTGCGTGTGTCCGCCCGCCCCAGGGGGACCCTCCAAGGGGCGGGGGGTGTGGCTCCAAGAGGGGGTGTCTTTCCAAGGCGGGGTGTGGAGGGGGCGCTCCAAAGTTGCGGAGGGCGCGCGCGTGTATGTGTGTGTTTCCAAGCGGGGGTGGTGGGGAAGGGGTGCATGTGGCTCCAAGGGGTTCCTTTTCCTTTTTCCTGGATTTTTTGTTTTGTTTTTTTTGTTTTTGGGTTGGTTTTTTTTGGATCAGGGCTCCTGGCCAAACCAGGATTGACGTCTGCTGAAGAGTTTACTGTATTGTCCGATCATAGCTTGCTGTTTCCCGCCACCCCCCCTCCCCATTTTGCTGATTTATGCCTGTCTCTTGCCAGATCTAAGGATCCCTCCTTCGAAGTCCTGTCTCATTAACACTTTGTCAGAGCTCCAGGTTTGCAAAAGTTGGTTTGGCTCTTGGGGTCATGCCAAGCCCACGCAGAGTTAGATTTTCCAAATAAGGCTGGAGAGTGCTGTGATATTCCTCCTTGAAACTCGGCTAGGTAGCCTGGGATCACATTCTTGCAGAGCAGGGCTGCAGTTAGGATACAAAGGAGTAGGCCATTTAAGGAGTCAGCAGCACAAAAGAGGAAAATATGTTGTTCTCTTTTAGGAAAGTGCTTGAGTGTGTAAGTTAGCAATTATTGCTCCATAAACACTCCCATCCTGCCTTCTCTGTGCTGAATTAAGATTGTGGCATGGTAGCCATTTCTCAGTGCAACAATGAAGCCAAGATCTTTCTTTCAAAGCTACAGCCTCTGGCAGAGGGTGACTTTTAAAAAGTTTAGGCAGAGACCCTGAAACAGTTTCTCGAATTCTGAGAGGGGAAATGCACGCACTTTCCCAGCATATGGTCTATAGCTTTTTATCTTTTAAGAACCTGACCACTTTCTTTGCCAAAAAGCATCTGAACTTGAAACGTGGAGCTTGGTATGTGATTTGGCCTTAATGAGCTGTGGGCTCTGCTAAGTTCTGAGAAAAACACTCTTCCAAAAAGGCAAAGTTACAAATGGTTGGAAATGCACATCTGAGAATGCACAGTAGAAAATGCCATTAAGCTGTCAGCTACAAACCCCAAAGATGGATGCATTTTTCTTATGTGATCAGGTAGTTAACTGCAGCTATCTGGTTACAGGAATGTATAAAGCTCAGTTGCTGAAGCAGAGATTGTAAATTCTGGAGGTTTAGAGCAAGGGGTACTTTGTAACAACAGCAAGATGTTAAGGCCCTATCTTTGTGAATTATACTCCTTTATAAACTAGGCTGGTATAGTTTAAGTGAATGGATTCAGTTATCCTGCTCTAAATGTGCTTACTCTGCCATGTGAAGAGGAGCAAGCTCATAGTAGATTAATTCTTTTTACCAACATATCAATCTGTGTCCAGACTAGGGGGTTTAATGTGAAAACTGTATGAATTAATTAAAAATCTCAACCATAATTTACAGTCTAAAAAAGGTGACACAGCGACTCTGTGCTCCACAAGCCCTGTAGTTGGGAACTTTGGATGTTTGCTGGTAAAGTTGTACAAGACAAAGACACTTGACACTTCAGCAGATGGCTGTAGAAAGGTCAGAATACACCAGGAAACCCAAAAGAAGAGGCTCACTTGAAGTTGTCTGTATGTTTGTTGTTGTGGACTGACTTTTTGTAGGTGTGTTGATTACTACATCAACCATAAGCATTTTCTCTCCTTTCTCTGTTTTCTTTGACAGATGAAAGCTTTTAGATTTGGTTCATGGTTGAAGCTTATAAAGTCCTGCCTAAAAAATCAAGTAGAATATGGTTCTGGTCATATTAACTACTCAAAAAAACCCAACAACAACAACAAAGAGATTGTGGCTGATGCAATGTTGTGTGTGTGTGTGGAAAGGTATCGTTTTAACTTTAGTGATTTTACTGAAAAGCGATATGTGCACTGTTGGTACAGGTATCATTATGCGGTGGAGAATACAGTGAGTCCACAGAAAGTGTCAAATAGGGGTGTGCAAAGTGAGCCCTGTTCGATTCAGATTCAGATTTGGCCTGAATCGGGAAAGTGATTCCTATTAATTAATTCAGATCACTGTCCCTGATTCGATTTGGCCGAATCTGAAGATTCGATGCTGATTCGGATAATCAGCGATTCAGACATAGAGACAGCTTTAAAAGTTTTTTCTATATACCTTGAGGTACCAGCGCAGCTTGTGATCACTGTGATGCGGGGGTGCATGGAGCATCCCATGGTACATGAACCATACTGGGCCACCTCCCCAGCTCAGCGATCGGCCGCAGGGAAATCCCTGGTGCCCCTGCAGACCCAGGAGGCACCAGTCACTGAGCCGGGGGGATGGGGAGGGGGGCCTGCGCACTCCCCAGCAGACCTGGAAGTGGACCGGAAGTGCTTCTGGTCCACTTCTGGGTCTGCTGCTGAGCATGCTGGGGAGCCCCCCGCGCTTCTGTGGGACACTTCATGTGACCCAGAATTGCAGCATTCACAAGCCCCTGCTACCTAGAGGTATGTAGAAAAAGCATTTAAAGCTGTCTCTATGTCTGAATCTTTCCGAATTTCTCCAAATCTGTTCGGAGGGTTCTGATTCAATTCGGAGAGACTAAAGGGCCCTCTGATTTGGATTTGGAAATTCGGGCACCAAATCAGGTGTGTTTTGGGCTGTAGGAAATTGGCTTTTGGTGATGAGGTTAGTGAGGTTCAGGGCTTGCTTGAGTTTACAAACCACTTTTCACAGAAGAGCCTATGAACTTCACTTCATCAACCTCCTGGATACAGAAACTCATGACGCACTACAACCTCCCAGACATCTAACTCCCCAGGTACCTCTCCACTTTTACCTGCTACATCCCCCTTCTCCCCCATCCCTGCCTGTCCTTCACCCCCTGATGTCTCCATTCCCATTTTTACTGACTGGCTTTCTTTCCTGCATTGCATGCCAGGCCAGCCTCTGGCTTCTTTACTATTCCTTCCATCCAGGAACAGCACACACACCAGCTGCAGGTACTTCCTCAGCCTGACGAAGGGTTTTTCAATCTAAAAGCTTGCATCCCAGGCAGCTAAGCTGAGCTCACCTGGAGCCTCACAACTCTACTGCAACCAGCAAGCCTCAGGCCTGTCAAAGATGTGACAGGTCTGGGCTTTCCCCAGCCAGGACTGTGCGTGCGTGTGGTGGTTGCAGGTCATAAGGTGCCTCCTACCTGCCTTTCACCAGTGAAGTCCTTGGTCCTGGCATTTCTTGGGGGCTGCTGAGCTGCCAGCAGTCCCACCAGGCCTCCCAACCCTAGCAGGGTTTAGTTTTAGTGGAAATGTCCAGGACCTGGGGTCTCCTCCTCCCTGATAGCCCCTGCTCATACCTCCAGGTTCATCCTGGCATGGGAGCTCAGCAGGGACATGTTCTTCCCCTGCTGGCTGGTGATAAAGTGAGTTCCCCCTCTAGCTCTGAGAGCAGGGCACTAAATGGTTGTGAAACCCAAGAGTCAAAAAAAAAAGGAAGGAAGTGAGGACGGAGTGAGGAGGGTGGGCTCCATCTGCATGTGGAGCTTAGGGAACCCCAACAGCAGGAGGTTCACCTTGGGAAACACCAGTTGCTCCACCAAACCAGGATCCAAGGACGCACAGTGGGGTGTCACTACATCCCCAGCAATGCTGAACCCCCTCTTGCTTGGAACACTGGTCAGTGGACAGGACAGGTGTTCCCAGGCAACCAAGGTCTGAGCGCTGCCTGATAGTGGGGTCTAGTGCCTCTGGACCCCACCATGGAAGCCATGCCCTTGGCCCACATTGGCAGCACCTGTGGTGGAGGAGGAGATTGGCTGATGGATGGCATGCTGGCACTCTTCCATGTCCCCCTTCCTCTGTCATTCTTCCTCCCTGACTCTGTTCACCAGCACCTCCGTCCAGTGATCCAGGGTTTTGCTTCCACATATGCTCCCCTTCACTGTCGGGTCACACATGGGATCAAGCTGTTTCCTGATGCCTTCCTTCAGCCGCCTCACCAGTGCCTGCACATCTGGTGACAGCACCTTGCCCCAGCCAGGAACACTGATCCCCTGGAAGTTCTCCATTTAGCTCTAAAGTTCCCTCACTATGGGGATCACCTGGCTAAGGAGGGCATCGCCAGCGCTGAGCATCTTGGTGGCCTCAAGGAAGGGCTTGAGGACCGCCAAGATCTGGGAGATGGTATCCTACTCAGCTCTGTTAAGGGAGCCACTGATCCCAATCTCCCCAAGCAAAACCATCACATGGCTGACCTTCTGTTGTTCCACCAGCCTCTCAAGCATCAGGTATGTGGAGTTCCACCAAGTCTCCACATCCTGTATGATTTTGTGCTGCAGGATGTTCAGCTTTGCCTGTTTCTCCCACAGCATCTTGCCCCCCTTGATGTTCCGGTGGAAGTAGCCCGCCACCTTCCTGCATTTGGAAATGAGCTTGCTGGTGGTGCTGGCATTGTCACCAGCAGCTCTGCCCCCCTCCAAGGCATCCCTGACAATGAGGTGGAACTTGTATGCCACACAGTAGATGCCAACGAAGTT